GGACTCAACAGGTCCTTTAAATATGCAAGCAATATCTTTTTCAAGTCCTCAGTAAGTTTTGTGGAACTTGCTTGGTTTTAACTTGAAAACAGGTTTCAAATTAGGAGAGGTCCTCTCCTAACGTCGCTCCTGAGACTTAGTTTCCTTACAGTTGAGTCTAATTCAAATAAACCTTTTCGGGTGACGCGATCCATTTTTGTGTGACCGAGAGCGAGCCTTGACGCGGTCACGCGTAGACTGTCTACCTTTGAGCAAGAAAGACATTGTTCGATGGTTGAACTTCAACCTGTACCATGTATTGCTCGTTCATGAGGACAGATGCAATTTCAGGCTGAGAGACGTGTGAAACGTTCCCAGAGGATTGAGTTTTGTGAGGCGAAGGTTTCCACCTCAAGATTCGTCATTCTTGAGGGGTTAGTGAGATAGACCCCATGTTCCTCTGAGCTAGATGGCATCAGATGAGAGCCAGGTATACTGGAGTGATCGTACCTAGAGCAGCATTGTCTTTACATTCGTCGTCATGCTATGGCTCTGGATGATATTCTCAGACGAGGGCCATCTCCGCGTGCCGACATTCAAGAACCATATGATCCAAAACAACGACTTCACCAAAGTCATTTTAGATGAGGAACACTTACCGCCGTATCAACGTCTGAACTGGTAGGAAGCCGTTGCAAAGATGCTCCCGAATCTATCTGTATAATTACCGTATCGCGTTGAACGAAAGTTGTCCGATGCAACTCTTGCTGGGAGGTCAATCCCCAATTTTGGCTTGATTAAGGTATCAACGAGTAGCCAGACTAGTCTGCTATCTTCTCTTACTCGTGACTGTGGCTGCCAGAGTGGCTACTTTCGGCCTCCAAGCAGAAACCTCAGTGTTGGAGCCCAGGACCACCTGTCAAGAAGCCTGCGAGGAGGTAACCGATTCTCACTAGATGCACTGAACTTACAATGGGCATACACGTCCCTAAGACTCGAGTTGTGCTTTATCAAGTTTCCCGCAGATCCACTACCCGTTCGGATCACTATGCAGTGATCTTGAGGGTCCCTCCGCTATTGCAATCACCCGTTTGGGTAACGAATACAATACACTTTTCCGTTTCCCGGCGCCACCTCAAGACTGCAGTGAAAATCCTGACGATTGCCCTGGCTACGCATCATATCTCGAATGGTGAGTAATCATCGACACTCATTACCTCACGCAACGCGTTGAGACCGCTGGAAGCTCATCCTAGTGACTCACAATCATTAAGCTCGAGCCAAAACGATGAGGGGCATCGCGCAGAGCACGGTGGCAATACACGTCTCGCTGATTGCATCACTACTTGTTTTCCCGTCGAGATAGCTTACTGCTGCTCCACTCAGTCAAGCATATATTGACGATCCACCCGCCAGCAAGGAGATAAGTCTGCCGAGCGGAACGATAAGGAGACAACGTCACGATATCTGCTTCAACGCATGTCGTAGAGCAGACACCGATACAGAGCAAGTTGAGCATGGTCTCTACTGCCCGAGAACTGCGACTGCACAACATGTTTCAGACAGGCTTCACGGGACTCGACACTCGAACACGATGTGTCTCAGACGATGACACTGCCGATCTCCTCTGCGTATCGCCAAACGACGGGTGAATGACTGTCCTGTTCAATGGGCTTGAGAGAGATACCCGCATGCACGTCGACAGATATGAGTCTCCGCTTGCTTCATACGGTGGATACAGATGTTTCTCTGGTGACCACAATGGCACCCGTGATGACAAAGGATGCACTAGCTGGACACTCGTGAGTACTTCCTCGAATTCTGCATGATTCCTTCGCCCAGTTGTGGGTGGGCATTGCCATCGCTAA